TAGAGCCGATTAGGCTTCAAATGCACAGCCACCCCAGTCCCTTACCCGCTGTCTCACCCCTGCATGCTTGGCGTTGTTGCAGGAGCGTGGCCTGCACCGTGGTGGAGATGTTAACGGAGAAGCCGCCGTGGGCAGAGTTCGAAGCCATGGCGGCTATTTTTAAAATCGCCACCCAGCCGACCAACCCCCAGCTCCCCGACGGCGTCTCGAACTCCTGCCGCAACTTCCTCAAGCAGATCTTCGTGGAGGAGAAGCGGAGGCCGACAGCCTCCAACCCCCAACTTCCTCAAGCAGATCTTCGTGGAGGAGAAGCGGAGGCGGAGGCCGAGGACCTGCTGAGACACCAGACACCACACCCCTTCGTCAACTGCGGGCTCTGAGCCCCTGGCAGCAGGCATGGGGAAACGCCGACGGGAGGGGGGCGGCTGCCAGACCAGCGGCCTTTTGCGCTCTGCGGTTCAGACCTCCGCCCTGGGCTGTCCTGGTGGTGGCCCCCGCAGGTCCCTTCTTGTTCGGCACCGGCTCGGCACCTGCCACGTTGTTGGATTTCCAAGCTGCGCTCGGGACCGTCGGCGCCGGGAATTCAGAGCGAGGGATTTCCCGGACTGTGCGGGTGCTGGCCTAGGACCAAGTAACCTTCTTGCCGCCAGCGATATTGGGGTCATCCCCCCTCGCCGTGTTGCTTATCTCTTGGGGAAAGTGCAGCAAATGGGATCTGTCGCCCCCCCAGCACGACAGCGATGCTGGCAGCATCCCCGGGAGCAGGGATGGAATAAGATGCTTGGTGGCAATCACCACCTTTCGCAGGGGAACAGACAGGGGCTTCAGCCAAGCCGGAGGAGATGATCCTCAGACCGCAGAGTCGGGGGGACCCGGGTGTCCCCGTTCACAAGGGGACCGAACCCTCCTGGAGGTCGCGGGACCAGCATCTCCAGTGGGGCGGCGTTTAATACTGTTCTGTGCCTTAAGCGGTTACAATCAAGGAGTGATGCTCGACTCGACACAAAGCACGGGGTCGGGCTCAATGATGCAGCAGCCATGTTGACTTTGCCTTTGTGCGTGTGTGTGTGCGTGTGTGCACGCGTGTGTGTATGTGCAAATCTTGGAAGAAGGGGTCTTCTCGGGGCGCAGGAGGTCTCTGTGGGGTACACCCACGGACGGATGCCTAGGGCCTCTGCCACGGGCCGTGCAGAGGGATGTTTAAAAGCTGTCAACGCCTGCAGTGGGCAGGGCTGAGCACCAGCCAGTTTGTGCTGGAACCATCAGGGTTCAGGTGGGAGCCGGAGGGGATCTTGGCGAGGGCGGCTCTCTGCTCATAGCCGTAGCCCTGCTAACCCGTGCCCATGCTGCTGTGCTGGGGCTGGAGGGATGTCAACGTGTTTTGGAAGTGGAGCTGCAGGAGGAGCCCAGCGGGTCTCTGTAAAACCCAAGCAGGTGCCTAAAATTAGGCAGAGGGGACCGACGCCTGCGGATCTGGGCTGGGTGCCTTCTCCTCCATGCCTCATGGGACCAACCCCGGATGCAGGGAAGGAGGACGTCACCTCCGCAGTGGTGCCCGAGGGAGCAGCTGCAGGACCATGAAGGCTCAGACCGGGAGAGCAGAGCTGTGTCGGTTGAGGGCAGCTGGAAACAGATTTCTTCCCCCAGTGTATTCAAAGTTGTAGGAGAAAATGGGCCAGTTGAAAGCAGAGTTGGGCTACAGCCTCTTTGACCAGCACTACCCTGCTGGAAAACCTGGGCAGGGAGCACGCACAGGGTCCCTGGAAGCTAATTAATTAATCAGATCTTGGTTATTTTGGACAAATTAATTGCACCATCCCACCTCCCCCTTCCCTGCTGCATTAGCTATTTCCATCTGGTTCAGCAAAGGGTTAAATAAGCCGTTACCGGGAGGTTGCAATCTTCAGGCCAGTGTGTCAAACACGGGTTTATTTTAATATTGTTTTTAATGGAAAATGAAAAGTGTTGCTTGGACTGAAGAGGAAATTGAGAAATTGGTTGTTCGTGTGATTTCACACATCTTTGAATTCTTCTGCGTGGAAGAGATCAAGACTTTGCACCGCTGGTGTGGCAGTGGGAGTGTTTCCTTGTCCACAGCTCCGAAAAGAGAAGCAAAAATTAGTTATTTCAGTTTAAAAAAAAAATAAAACGCTGGTAGTGTTAGGGCAAATTAAAAGAAATAGCTAAAACGATTCCCTATAAATTTGCCTGCAAAGCTGCAGAGACCAGTTATTATACAGGCTGGGCTCCGGTGAAGCTGGGGGGCTCCGGTGAAGCTGGGGGGCTGCGGCAGGGCAGCACCCGGGG